ACTTAACCTTGGATGGAATGGGATAAAGTTAGTGACAGCACCAAGCGAAGATACACTAAACCAACTGTAGAGATCGTTTCTTCAGTCCTTCATACTCTCTGTCCTAATGACCCAGGTTCTCTTTGGCAAGCAATAGTCTCGTCCCCAGCCATAAACAAAGCTCTTGAATGAGATGACTTACCACAAACGGCCAAGGATTATCTCCAGGCCCTAACCGAGGCGTACAACCAAGCTCACGGTTGGGACACAAGAAGGCAGATCCTGTCTATCATGTCCGGTGTTGCCAGCTTCAAGGATGTCTCAGGCTTCATACCTGGGCTGACAAGATATCGCTTTACTTTGGCCAACCTGCATTGCCTGCAGTGTGGACGTGGTGCTCTGTTGATGCACCAGCCCTTGCCAAGAATAAGGGTTGATCAACAACAACTTGACCATTTCCTATCATTCATAACGAGCCCCCATTTGGTACAAGATCTGCCCTTTGGACAGAAAACCCTGAAGCTCTCGTCCGGCCAGCTGATAGAGATACCAAACATCATCCGAACAATGATACCGTAGAGAATAGCGCACCAGTATAGCCATTACTGTGAGGAGACAAACTTCAAACCATTTAGCAAACGAACCATGCTGCATGTACTGGCAGAATGCAAAGCGTCTGTCGGAAGTCTCTTCAGGGGCTCGATTATTTCGTGGCAGATGGTGTGCGTGCATTTGAAGATCTTGACAATTTAGTTTGCCAACTAGGTGATCTTGGTCTGGGGAATGAGTGGCAAGTGCAGCAAGTCGAGCTGCTAAAAGCAGCCAAATCATACATTAAAGGAGACTTCAAGGTAACGCTCTTTGTAAACGTAACATTGGCTTTGCGAAGAGATGTTAATTCCAGTATGTTGAAAACAAGGAAGTCTTTCTCCCCAATTCGAAAATGGGAAACAAATTATTGCAACAGGTTGACTAGCTCTATATAGACATATATAGACATATTGGCATCATTTTTTTTGTTGTTTACACTTAGCCATGATACAATAGATACAATAGATTTGAAGAAAATTGATTAATTATCTTTGAAATCCAGCTTCCTATTTCTGCATAGTAATTTTGTGGGCCGCAAGCCACTCATTAGATACTCACGACATCTCTCCAATGTCCTGATAGGTTCATGTGAGCAACTCATCTCTGGTAGCAAGTCACTGCAGTGTTTTTGCCCTCAGCGACACTACCAATCCTGACCTACAACAGCAGTGCGACCACAGCCATGACCAGATGCGTGAACAGAGCGAAAGTCTACACTCGACTCTGCACAGCATCACAGAGGCAGTTAAAGAGGCATCTTTTGTAACAGAGGATGACAGAAATGAAGCTGGGTACCTTGCAAACTCCGCCACCCTTTCTATCAAGTCATGGATATGTCACTTGCTGAGATCAGTCCACCAAGATCAGGCTCGCTTGGATATCATTGACACTCTCGATCCTGAGGCAGTTTTAATCGTGAATGACTGGGTGATGAAATTTTTGCCTCAAAGATACAGAGAGTCACAAACGGAATGGTTTGGTAAGCGTGGCTTATCATGGCACATGTCTGTTGTGTACCGACAGAAAGAGGGAGAACTTCAGTGGCAAGGCTTCATCCATATAATCCAGTCCTGCAGCCAGGGAAGTTCCGCTGTGGCAGCAATCATGCACCATGTACTTACAACCCTAAAGCGCGAACACCCTGAAGAAAACAAAGCCTACTTCTGTCATGACAATGCGGGCTGCTACCACTCCTCTCGCACATTACTAGCGTGCCGCGAGATGCCAGCCAGCACTGGAGTACAAGTTGTCCGCATTGACTTTAGCGATCCTCAAGGTGGGAAAGGGGCTGTAGATCAGTTGGCTGCAACCTGTAAAGGACACGTCAGGGCTTTTATCAATGAAGGCCACGATGTTTGTACTGCTACGGACCTGAGGAACGCGTTGCTATCATATGGGGGATTGGGAGGAGTGCAAGTGGTCTCACTTAACACTATCAACAAAACACCAGATGATTCGCGAAGTATCTCAGGGATCACTAAGCTTAATAATTTTCAGAGTCAATTACCTGTTGGCGCGCATATTCCATTGGCCGTGGAAAAACAATTAAACCGGAAAAGCCATCATCTGGTAAGTATCCACATTGTATTTTAGAACTTCCCCAACACATAGACACAGACAGACCTGGTCGCACACTCAGCTATGGTAACGGTGTGTCCCATAGACTTGATAAGCAGAGTCTACGGGACGCACCAGTTACAAGTTTCCAAGTGCGCCAAGAAAACAAAATAACAAGTAAAAATGTACCTTTTGAAATAAACATTAAACTAAACCAACTAAGATAACATAACTACGATAAAATATCTAAACATGTATGACAATACCAAAGAATGTATACAAGTTGTTCAGATAAAAACACGCAATCGTGGTCTTGTTGGAATGCTAATTGTATTTGATAGAATCTCAAGTTTTCTCACATGCGGCAACATTTGCTACTAGACTAGGAGTGGCCGGAAGCGCGGATCAACTGTCAAAGTGTAACAGCCCAAGTGATAGTGAATCGCTTGTGGAGGGAGTGCTGATTGCCCGTACACTTTTCCCTTATAGGCATTTGTGTTATTCTAATGAACTGATGTTGTTACACTGATATTATTTAGCTTTTTGAACGAAAAAATGACCAAGTGTTTCTTTTGCAATTTAGTTAGACATTGCTCTTTCTTTATTTCTATGTCTAAGGTCCTGGATATGACTTGCTGGAAGCATCGTTCTCTGAAGGAGACTTCAGGTCATTTTCCAAAAAAAGTATGAAAACTGCAACCGCAACGTCAGTGCCAGTACCAACAAGTGTGACCGAAGAACCATCTGCTGATGTTTCCGCCATTGATAGTGACCAAACAGCAGGGGTATATTCCTGCCCTCAAGACGGCTGTGTTCGTGTCTTTCAGAGGCTGTCTGCTTTGGAGAGGCACCTGTCTCTGGAGAAATGTATACAGTCTCTGGAGAGATATTCACTTATGGACTTAGCCAAAATGGGCTACAAGTCCCGGTTGGAGCAAGGCGTAGGCACGTTACCAACACTCAAAGCCACAACCAGGTTCTATTCAAGAAATGGACAGATTACTTCCTTTTCCTGGCACTCGTTGCGAGCACAAGATCTTTTACTTCTAAAGAAACTGACTCGGAGGAAGCGGTCCTGATAGATGCAGAAACACTAAAGGTGTGGTGTGTCCACTTTTTAAAACTTACAATCTTATTTTTCAAAAATTGCTTAGTTAACTAGCATTCCTGCTTAGTTGTATTAATACAATTTAATCTCCACCCCCACCTTATAGTGGGTTCATCATCATCATCACTGCCCCGCGGCATAGCGCCAGTAGGCGCATAAGGTCTTATCATTCTGTTTCCACTGTGCCCTATTGCTGGCTACCCCTTTCGTGATGTTCCAGTCATTCCACGCTGCCTGCCGTCTCTCTTCCTCTACTATCCTCCTCCAGGTCATTTTAGGTCTTCCTCCTGTTTTCTATCTTCTGGTCCCCACCCTAACGCCACCCTGCAGTCACTGGGTCTATCTCCACGCAGTATATGTGCCATCCAAGTCCAACGCGGTCTTATTATTCTTTCGATAGTAGTGAGTTACAGAATGGAATCTCTTGTACGCCTTAGCTCATTACCTCGCCGATGATCATCGGCGAGATTTCGTGTTCGTTATTTCACAGACAGAATGACCTCGTCATGATCGACGAGATTTTTGGTCCTTTATCATATAGAGGAGACAGTTACCTCATTTTAGGACCTTTATAATACAAACAGAATTACCTTAACGATGATCATCGAATTTCAAGACTAATAAAAAGAAGAAAAACCACTTTCGACATTGTATTCATGTTTCGTTCCTCATTGCCCTCTCTCGGTTGGTCATTCTTCAAAAAGATATTACCTACAAAGCGTACTTTATGGTAATGTTGACCACCGATAGAAATATATTTTTGTCGCTCCATTTACAGATGTGTTCCCTATCATACAAAGGATACCCTAGAGGTGTTCATGTTGAGGGAACACCTGATGATGCAATGATGGTGTCCGCCATTACAAATGTCCTGGCACTTTGCTTTTGCAGAGGCAACAAGTTCCATGCATTTTGCACAAACTTCCCCAAGGAAGGAGAGGTGAAGAACCTTGCACAGGTTAGGAATTCAAAACACTGCTTTGCAGCGTTGTAACTCCCACATAGATCTAGGCTACTTAACATCCTTTAATCCATAACTTCATCAATGGGAATTTATCATTTCATTTCTCAATAGGGTACAGCTATACGCTGTAAGACCTGTTTCCAGTTGGTTGAAGCACTTGCGGGTTGTCAAGAGAAAAAAAAAACACAGTTTAAGCAAGCAAGCAAGTGCTATCCACGGCTGGTTTTTTAATTTTAAAAAAACTTTTTGCACAAACTATTGCCCACCAAAACAACAATCATACTCAACCTAAAAGTGGGAAAAAAAACTCATGCCCCAGAAAATTGTGCAACCCCCCTCCGCCCTTCCCCTCCCACAAAAAAAAGAATGGTCCATCCCTACTAAGATCAGGGTGCTTTTCATTCGACCAAAAATTCCGGTGTGAATTCCTTAAGATTTCTCCTGGGGAGAGTGGAACAGAATTTTTCGGTTGACTGCACCAGAGTGGAAAACAATAAGCCCCTTTCATTCGTAATTGTTGCCTCTAAAATTGAAAATGACTTACTCTTTTGCACTTTTGTTTGCTTGGAATTATTCAATGACCTCAAGGTTTAAATCGCCAGTATAAGAGCAAACATAACACTTTTAGGCCATAACAACAGGAACCTTATACTAACCACATCAGCAACGAAAACATCGCAAAACAAAGGGTTTAATAACTGGTACAATGACTCTGCACGCGCCATATATCTTTGTTCATTTCTTAGCCAACCTTTGCGAAACAACAACGAAAAACAAACAAGTACACTATGGGGCATATTTTTTTATTGGAATTAAACGTTTTCTTCTGCGTATTTAGCTGTATCTAGTATTTATCGACAAGAGGTGGCAAGACTCTAAATTATTATATGGCTCTGCCTCACAAGGACTGGGAACTACCAAATTCAGGAATTTGATCGGGCAAAATCGATATTGAAAGCGGTCTAGATTTTCCCATCTAGACCGGGATATAGACCGTTTACATTTTGCGGTGAAAAAGTTCCAAAGTAAAATGCAAAAATATTGACTATTTTCTTCCAACAGTATTTATTTATGGAAGTTGCTTCAGTAAATCCTGAATTTGGTGCGACTGTCGCACGACGTCTGAGTCAAAGTCGTGTTTCTGCCGTGCTACAGTCGAACCTAATTGCAATTACGTTCGGCACGGCAGAAGCACAACGTCTGAACTGGGCCGAAGTTTCTTTGTGCCTATCGCAATTAACCCTGGTAACTAACTAACTTGCTCTTCAATGAAACTAAGGCACTAGTTAACAAATATTAGATTATGAGCTCGAGATTTCTGTCGCGTGATATTTGACAAGAGCGCAGCCCGAGTTAGGCTCGATTACCAGCTGCTATTCGGGAAAGGAGACTGGACTCGAGAAAACGGCCGAAATCGAGCGTAAGCCCGAGTCAACTATCACGCATAGAAATAGAAAGTGAATTAATAGTATAATTGTTCGATAAGAGTCTACTAGTCGTTCAAAACGTTATCTAATTCATCTTCACAGACAATTGGAAAACGCAAAGACACGGCTGCTATTTTGTTGACAACCGCACACTGCTGGACCACTTACTATCAACAACAGAATAGATAATGAGTAGCGTAGCTAGTAATAGAACGGCATTCGTGATAGTTGAGGTAATAGTTGATGAGGTCGAAGGCCAAATCAACTATCCCGTCATAGAAATTTAATTGCTTTAGTAGAATTCTAACTGAGATTTATTTCAAAGAACGGTTTCCAATCAGTTCTCGACGTGTTATTCAACTTTGTGCCTTAGAAAGATCGCTCTGATTTGAAACTGAAGTTGTGTGTGCGCGCCATCGTTTTTATCAATAATTTCAATATTTTTCAAGTCAAGAAACCATTAATGTTTTCTAATTAATGTCTTCCCAGGAATTTATTTATCCATTTGCAACGAAACGTTCCTTGAAGCTTTGCTAAAAAAATAAAAAAACCTGGCCATTTCGTAGACAACCTCCGGCCACTGCACTGTAATGGCTGATAGTATACGAGCAGCTCAGCCAATCAGATTGCAGCATTTGCATTAGTATACTAGTAGAATTCTACTAAAAGTTATTAGTATAAAGCTACTAGTGTTCCATCATGAATGCTGTTCAATTACTGACTACGCTACTCACTATCTATTCTGTAATGTAATTGTTAAATAGTCGTTATTCCTTGCCGACGCCTCCTTTGTAACTGAAGGTTTAAAATAAGCTTTTTTGAAGCTTGTTTATTTATACGTTTTTATCCTTCTTCTTGTAAATGCAGGCAAAAGTTGAACGCCTCTATTTCCTAGCACCCAGCAATCTGAAGGCAAAGGCATTATCAATCTTAAAAGACGCAAGAGTCGAAGTTGTGTAAGTACATCATGCTTATTGAGTTGTTATTTTTTCAGGCATTTTCTTGACCCTATTGCAGTATTAGCCAGAGAAAACAAGAGAACATGTTTCACACAACCAAGATGGCGACTTGTTTATTGCACGTGGTCCCAGCATGCATTGGGACACTAAACAGTTATGTGATAATCTTACATCTCGTCCCAAAAAATGTAAGACAACGGGTGGGAGGGAAGACAGCAACAACAAATCAACAAAATATTCAAAGTACGAGAAAGTTCAGTCTTCCAAACATTCTAGCCTGACATCGCACCTTAATGTCCAGAGTTCAACAATATTTCAAGGCCATTCTAAAGGTTTCAAACACAATGTCCTAGATTGACTAATGTTCAATGTCTATAAATCCAGGCGCTCTGATGTCCTCACAACTCTTCCTGAACGAGTAGTACATGGGCTATGTGAAGACTCTGCAGCAGGGGCTGTCTCTGGGGTAGTCAACATCGCTGGTGGTGTCTGCGGTGCTGTGATGGTGGTATTGGTGATGGCAGGGTTGGATTGGGGGCAGTAGTAGTTTCTGAAGGCAGATCTTCTGTGGAATATTCCGTCACAGGGTGTTTGGTTGCGAC